ACAGAAACCATAGTTTTTCAATGCCCTTAGTTTAAACATTGTTTTTAGTTTTAGTTTCTATTTCATTACGTTTTTGTTTTAGCCGTTTTTGTTTTTTTTAGTTTTTATTAACAACAACAACAACAGCAAAATACTGGTAGAAACCATAGTTTTTAAATGTCTCTAGTTTAAACGTATTATTTTAGTTTCAATTTCTCTTTCTTTAACTTTTTGTTTAAAAAATACTGGTAGAGGTAGGTTATTTCTCCGATAGGGGACCGAAGGTCACGTGTTTTAACCAATCGCACCACTACACAGTAGCGTGTTGTCTGTCAGTGAGTCAGAAGACACTAAAATGATGTCACATAATGGAAGCTTAACGTTACAATTTGTACTGTTGTGACGTCAGCAAAACGTGCGCATGCCATGAATCACGAGAAGAATTATTCACTCTGAAGGCTACAACAGAGCATGATAAATGAAAGCAAGAAATAAAAATATATGGTACTCTTAATTTTGGAAATAAATCTAGTTTTAGTTACTTTTTAGCTGTTGTTGAAATAATATAGGGAACTGGCTGGTTTGTAAGGTGTTTTAGTATCACGAAAAAATTAAAGAGAATAACTTAATACAGTTTTATTCTTTAAGTCTATAAATATTGGCACAGTTTATTTCCTTTTTTTTTTAGTAGGGAGGTTAATCAAAAATTCACAATATTCTTTATCACTAAATAATATATTCATCGTAGTATAAAATTCGAAATAATTCATCACAACAATGTTATTACGTTTATCAGACTTCATAATAACCAGTTTATTGTTATCTTTTAAGTGTATTAAAATATTCATACGTCTCAAAAATAGGGATTATAAAAACTTTATTGGCTATAGCTGAAGGTATTTAGAGTTCAAATAAGAGTTAGATTGGGAAATAAATTATCTGGAAACTAATAATAAAATGGAAAGGTTATCAGTTAATAAAAATGCTTATGTAGTAAGACGATTCTACGAAAATAAACCACAAAAATGAACATTTATTTAGACGAGTTGATTTACTGTTTTATTTATATCCCGCGTGCTTTGCTTATCAGCCGCGTTAAAAATGAATACGTCGAAAATTCGAAAATATGCGTGAACTTCCCCTTTGGGTAAATTTATATATATTTTTTTTCCCAGGGAAGGTTGAATGCAATTTTAAACAAGAGGAAATCTTCCATAAAACTCGGCACTTGAAGTTCTTTTAGGCAAGATTCAAGTAATTTTTTTTTTATTGGCTGTATTTTAGTACGCCATCAATACCAAGCGTGGGGTGCGTGTATACCCAATTCGATTTTATTACTCATCAGGATATCTACCAGCCTACCCTCAAATTGAAATTATTTTAGGCAGGATTAGAGTAAGTTATTCTATGAGATCTTAGGCGTGATCGAATACATCAATCGAATGGGTTTGACCTCTCAAATCTCCCAAGAGATGACGCAGCTATGAGCTGAAAGGTTGTACTTGAAAATCAAACAACGACAAAAATAGAAGAATTCAGAGCCGTTCTATGAGCCGTTATGCCGCGGCTGAAAACAAATTAAATCATCTGTAACTTAGAAAGAAGTAGATGCAATGGTATTTATATATCGGAGACCGGATGGGATTTAATTGCAAGAACATGGACGTTCTCCGTTATATGTTTACCAACATTTTAAAGATACAAAACATTGCAGCAACAATAAAATTGTACAAATTACTTGCTGTGAGCCCAATGTTAACAAATGTAAAATAAAAGAAACAATTATAATAAACAAAATAAATAAATAAAATGAAAGAAATAGGTTTATATTTATGTTAAAGTTATGAGAGTTATTTAAAAGTCAAAGTCATGAGGTCAGTGTTAGGTGTATTAAAATGTATTTATTTCAAAGTCAAAGTCATGAGGCTAGTGTTAGGTGTATTAAAATGTATTTATTTCAAAGTCAAAGTCATGAGGTTAGTGTTAGAGGTTACAACGCTAGAAACCGGGTTTCGATACCCGTGGTGGGCAGAGCACAGATAGCCCATTGTATAGCTTTGTGCTTAACTTTAAACAAACAAACAAAACAAACTTGTGGCTTGTAGTTATGTTTGCTTCATTTGTTTATGTGTTTCTTGATTTTGTGTTTGTTTTCCGCGCTGCCCGTACGTTCGTGTTTCTGTAGTTGTTGTTGTCGGTACTAAAGGTGCTTTTCTTTGTGTTCTGTTTACGTTTGTTTCGGAGTACCGTGTGTGTGTATCGTTTGGATTTGAGTTGTTTTGTATATTAAAGATTCGTGGTTTGATGTCCTTTGTGTTGTTGTTAGCAGTTACAGCGTAGCTGTTCTGTGTTTTCTTTCTGTGCTCTCCCCCACAACCCACACAGCGTGGGAGAGCTTTACATGCTGCCGCTACGTGTCCATAACGTTGACAGTTGTAACACTGGTTTACAACTACTGCCGGTGTTTTTTGTGTTTTCGACTCTGAATCGGATATCGTGCTCTGGATATCTCGTGATTCATGTATAAATACTTTTATCATGTTCGTGGGATTTTGTGTTTTGACACACACACGGACCCGATTGCAATACTTTCGTTCCCTCTCCGGGGGGGGGGGGGATAATAAATGGTACCGGAGCTGTCTCAATGATCAATTTTACTTAGGATGTTGTTGAGCACACATGGCATCAATGCTTAGTCCTGAAGGATCTCTCATTAAGGGCTCCCAATACTGAGACGTCTGGTTGGGCCACTAGAAGGCACACATGACTAGCACTGAAGTGGGGAATGGCTGAACCATTGGTGGTTTCACTATTTTGCCCAGTGAAAGCTGGGATGCAGAGACATTGATCTACTATATATGAGGTGTCTCGGTTTCTGGAGACTTCAGCACCAGTATGACAATTTACTCAGTGATATCCCAAACATCTGATAGATTGGCCATCAACTCATCTTCGTCCATGGGCTCGGACTCTACTGGGTAAATGCTAAGGCATCTTCATATTGGTGGAGATAAAGAGTATACATCTAACAGACACAATTGCATGTTGTACTCTGTGCTGCAACTGTGATAACACTGCTTCATTTCCATTATTACTGGTGTCGGTGTCAAATAGGAACACTCCAATGTGTTGTGAATATGCTAGCACTGGAGCCTCCACTTAAGCAAGCCTTAGGCGTCAGAATGCTTGGTCACATTCCTCACTCCATTCAAAATGTAACAGTTTTAATTAGATCAGACAGTGGTGCTGCTGTCTTGGAGAAACTTATCACAAACGCTAGTAATACAATGCAAAACTGAGGAAACCTGAAATGAATTTAACGATTTCTGAACTTCATAGATTCTGAATAGATATTTTTTTTATATATATCTATCACTAGAATCGAACCCCGAATCCTAGCGAATCTTCTCTGAAGTTGCCTCTTTTATATTCATGATGGGAAAATCTTCTGTCAGCTTATAAAATTTCTTACAGTAATCCACCTAACAACAGCTAAGGCTCATTGTCATCAGGCATCACTTTTTATATATTATTAAAAAGGCTGCCATTAATCTTTTAAAAACTTGGTAATTTTTTGTTAGTCGCAACATAGCGGCTCATAGAATGGCCCTGAGTTTTTTGGTTTTTTTTTTTTCAAGTACAAACTTTTAGCTCGTATCTCTGTCATCTCAAGACCGATTTGAGATCTAATTACAATTTGCGACTCAGGAGGTCAAACCTCTTCCATTGATGTATTTGTCCACGCCCAAGGTCTCGTAGATTAATTTACTTTAATCCTACCTAAAAGAATTTCAAGTTCGGCGGCTATTGGGGATTCCCTCTTGTTTTATACAAGCATAATATCTTTCAAAACATTGTAATTTGTTAGTTTTAGAGCAAAGCCACATTGGGCTATCTAATGTGTCCATCGCGGGGAATCTAACACCGGATTGTAACGTTGTAAGTTCGTAAACTTACCTCTGTTCCACTAGGGGACGAACATCGCAATATTGTTTGTTTATAATTAAGCACAAAGCTACACAATGGGTTATCTGTGCTCTGCCCACCACGGGTATCGAAATCCGGTTTCTAGCGTTGTAAGTCCGCAGACATACCTCTGTGGCAATATTGTTTGTTTGTAATTAAGCACAAAGCTACACAATGGGTTATCTGTGCTTTGCCCACCACGGGTATCGAAATCCGGTTTCTAGCGTTGTAAGTCCGCAGGCATACCTCTGTGACAATATTGTTTGCTTGTAAATTAAGCACAAAGCTACACAATGGGCTATTTATGCTCTGCCCACCACGGGTATCGAAATCCGGTTTCTAGCGTTGTAAGTCCGCAGACATACCTCTGTGCCACTAGGGGGGGGGCATCGCAATATTTTATGAAAGGCTTATATATTACAACTGTTAAGCTGAGCGTTTCGTATTTTGGATTTTTAGAGAGTAAAATTCTGTTCTTATCTAATTACGTCACTATATTGATCTCCTTTAGCGATACATTTCGTCATCTATCAGAAGCAATTTTCGTTTCTTGTTTTCATGTGTCGTACCACACCAAGCTCCTTGTGAAATTTAACCCTTATATCACTGGCTGCTCTTTTACTTTATTTAATACGTGGGAGGAGCTTAAAGCTGGAATCCAATTCTTTCGACGAGTAGAATACAATGATAAATATGATGAGACAAGCACGTGCTCTTGTTATACCTGATACTTGCACGTTGGTCAAGCATACATGCAAAACGCCAAAACCATGCGGCTTTGTTATGGCTAAGTGGTGTTTACGCGGGAATGCGGCTTGCTTCTATCGAACCTGCTTCATTGACGTTGTTGTACTTTTCTCTTACGCCTCCCGCTATAGTTCGAGTTATGTATGACTTACTAAGCTCTACAAAAACTGAACAAGCGTAGAACGATTACATATCTTTGAGATGATAATATTCCGAGAAAGCTGCGTAATAATAATTAAATTTTCTGCGAAACCTCTGTTATAATTTACGAATTACTCCTTGCCAGGGAGTAAGTCAAGTTCTAGGAACAGCCACTCTATGTACAAACCTGCAGCTTGCGTCGTGTATTCATACCCGTGAAACATTTCTGGCGGATGTTGAAGATAGTTTTTCTATGGAGTTTCAAACAAATGTGAATTTATGGCGCTTGAAACGTTGTCGTTGAGTGTCTTCATAACCATCTTCAACACTGTAATCAAAGGTACGTTTTTGTGTTTCTCAAGCTTGCTCGAGCGCGTGTGCTCACGCGTAGAAGAATGGCGCCGTGTATATGTAGTTCGCTAAAGACGTTTTTGCTGTTTTGGCCATGATGGTCGTCCCACTGTTCGATACTAGGGGGTCAACGAGCGCTTGGTTGCGAGGCTGATGTTAATAGTAGTTTATACACAAAACTAAAAATATGTTGTTTCTATAGAGTTTGTGGATGTTGTTGTTAGTACTTAAGTTAAATAAATAAATACGTTCTTATTAAGTACTTGTGTAGCTTCCTGATGAAACTTACATTACAAGCTGTATGGTATTGTTTAAACCAAATTTGATCGTACTTGTTGTAATCGATAACTTTATAATAGTCTGGATTTCCTCTTTTTACTTTAGAATATAACGGGCCCAAAGTAATACAAGAAAATAACAACATATTTTTGTCTGTATGAGATCTTGTGTTGTTTACACAAGACCGATGAAAGTTCGACTATCACAGTATTATTATTATTAGGATAATAATAATGCTGTCATCACAAAGTTGAACGTAGTAGGCCTACTTGTTTTGCTTAGTTTGGTGATAACGTATCTACATCATTGTTCATTTAACCAAAAAATTGTTAAACATAACGTAGTTTTTGTATATTATGTGTGTAATAATTCTGTTGGTGTTCAACGTATTGGATTTTTATGTTAATAATTTTAGCCAATACTGTGAGTATAAATATATCTTGGAGATAATTTACAATTGACTTCTTCATAAGGTTCATAAATCACTACATATGAACAATTAGTTACTGTCTAACTTGAAACGAACTTACACGTTCTAGACATTATTCTTATTACTGACTTCTTAAACAGCCTGTACCATGATAGTATGTACCTCCCATATGTATTGTTACTTTTAAATACAGACTGCTTAAACCAGATTTTACTGTTATAACAAATTTAATGAGTTCTTAAAACAATCCTTACTGTACTCATAATAAATGATTGTATATTGTTACTTTTATTACTGACTGCTTAAAACAATCCTTACTGTACTCATAATAAATGATTGTATATTGTTACTTTTATTACTGACTGCTTAAAACAATCTTCACTATAATCATAATAAATTATTGTATATTGTTACTTTTATTACTGACTGCTTTAAACAATCTTCAGTATAATCATAAGAAATTATTGTATATTGTTACTATTGTTACTGACTGCTTGAAACAATCTTCACTATAATCATAATGAATTATTGTATATTGTAACTTTTATTACTGACTGCTTAAAACAATCTTCACTATAATCATAATAAATTATTGTATATTGTTACTTTTATTGCTGACTGCTTTAAACAGTCTTTACTGGAATCATAAATTCTTATCTTTGTCTTGTGTCAAATGGGCTTTTTGGGCTGAGTATAGTGGTTGGATGGTTAGTAAGCAAGAAAATTTTATGTTCTAAAGCTATGAATAGACCAGTTTATTTTATTTATTGCTGTACCTTAGTATAATTTTGAAATGTCAATGAGGAGATTTTCCCTTGAATTTATATTACGCGAATATCCGTTGATAGACATTTCCAGAAACATTAAAACCTAGTTCAGAATAAAACTAATTTATTATTTATTTCAGTTTCATTTCATTATTTCGAAGCAAATATAATACTATCGGGTATTTGTTAGTGGAAACATGTTGAGAAATGTTTATATGGAGCATAAGTGTGTAAGATTAGTTAAAATTTCAAAACCAGAAAACTTTTAGTTTTATATTCGAAAGGTAAATATTTCACTCAGCCGTGGCGCTCGTAAGATAACTTATATAAGTAATTACAAAATAATCTGTCGTTTTTTTTTACCCCATCCTCGGCTGCTCAGCGATAAGCTTGAAAGCTTTTATCGCTAAAATTCGAGGTTAGATTCCTGCGTTGGGAAAAAAAAACAACCCATTTTTCAGATTTGCGCCCTCAATTGTTTTTTTCCCCTGGGTGGTTAAGAGATTGTTGTTTTTAATTAAGCACAAAGCTACACAATGGGCTATCTGTGCTCTTCCCACCACGGGTATCGAAAAACGGATTCTAGCGTTGTAAGTCCGCAGACATACCGCTGTGGCTGGTTAAGAGGTAATTTTATGACCAGAAATCGAGTGTAGGTTAGGTTTGTATGGAGCTCATCGATATGGCAGTAGGTGGGTTTGAGTTCAAAGATGTCATCCGTTGGTTTGTGGGGTGCAAAATCAAACAAATATTATTCTTCAAAGAGCTTGTGTAGAGAACAGTAACAGTAAAATAAATATTACGAAGCAATATAACACTAATTTAGAGTTCATTTTCGTTGTGGGTCTGGTATGGCATGATAGTTAGGGCACTCGACTGGCTATCTGCTGGTCGCGGGTCACTTTCGTTGTGGGTCTGGCATGGCCTGATAGTTAGGGCACTCGACTGGCTATCTGCTGGTCGCGGGTCACTTTCGTTGTGGGTCTGGCATGGCCTGATAGTTAGGACACTCGACTGGCTATCTGCTGGTCGCGGGTCACTTTCATTGTGGGTCTGGTATGGCCTGATAGTTAGGACACTCGACTGGCTATCTGCTGGTCGCGGGTCACTTTCATTGTGGGTCTGGTATGGCCTGATAGTTAGGACACTCGACTGGCTAT